TACTTTTAAAAGGCAAAAGAAAAGGATAAATGATTCTAGTTTGTATTTTTAAGCTAACTAAATATATAATTTTCCACAAAGTTTCCTCCATTACACAATTTTTTTTAAAAAAATCTCTATCCTTGTTTCTTATTCTTTATTGTTCCTTCCATTCACTCATTTATCCTGCAGGCATTTTTTTGTTCCAGAATAGATTTAGCTTTCCAAAAAAAAAAAAATTGCAAAGATGATGCCGAGAATTCCCATATAGGCCACAGCCAGTTTTCTTTATTATTTAGTATTATTTCTCTATTCTTTAGTATGGTACATTGTTAGTTCCAGTTAATGAACTAATATGGATTCATTACTATTAACTAAAGTCCATATTTATTCATACGAACTCAGTCTCCCCCTTATATCCTTTTCTGCTCCAGGATCTCATCCAAGATGCTACAGTACATTTCACTGTCACGTCTCCTTAGACCCCTCTTGGCTGTGACAATTTCTCAGACTTGTCTTGTGTTTGATGATCCTGAGAGTTTTGAGGAGTACTAATCAGGTATTTTGTAGAATTTTCTTCTACTGAGATTTGTCTGAGGTTTGTCTTATAATGGGACTGGAGCTACATGTTTGGGGAAGAAGAGCACAGAGGTTAAGTGCTATTCGCGTCACCTCGTCTCAAGGGCACAGATGAACACCTAACTTACCACTGCTGATGTCGACCTTGGTCACCTGGCTGAGGCAGCTTCGCCTGGTTTCTCCTCTGCAAAGTTACTTTCCCCCTCTTCCATTCCACACTGTCCTCTTTGGAAAGAAGCCACCCTCCGGAGATCACACATGTTGAATTGTATAAGCTTTTTGTTGTATATTTTGGATATTAACCCCTTATCAGATACATCATTTGCAAATACCTTCTCCCATTCAGTAGGCTGCCTTTTTGTTTGATTGATGGTTTCCTTTGCTGTGCAAAAGGATTTCAGTTTGATTAGGTCTCATTTATTTATTTTTGGTTTCGTTTCCCTTACCTGAGGAGAGAGACCCAAAGAGATATTGCTGAAGCCTATGTCAAAGGTGTATTGCCCATGTTTTCTTCTAGGAAATGGTTTTATGGTTTCAGGTCTTACATTTAGGTCTTGAATCCACTTTGAGTTTGTTATTGCATATGGTGTGAGAAAATGTTCTAATTTCCTTCTTTGACACGTAGCTGCCCCGTTTTCCCAGCACCACTTATTTGAGACACTGTCTTTTCCCCACTGTATAGTCTTGCCTCCGTTGTAGATTAGTTGGAGAGTCAGGACTTTCCCCATCATCCTTCAGCAATGAGACCGCCCCCGCCACGGTGTCAGTGGAGACACTGCAAAGAGCAGACACTGCTCAGCAGTAACAAGGACCCTACCGCCCCCCAACTTAGGTGCAACAGGGTTGAATGGGAACCTGGACTTTTCCCTTTTTTCAAAGAGATTGTATAGTTTTGCCATTATATAATGAGAAAAATAGAGAAAAGAATACTTTCCAATTCATTTTATGAAGCTAGTATTACCCTGCTACCAAAATTTATATTATAAATTGGTAAGATGTAAAACTCTATATATTAAACTGGAAAAAAACTTAAAAATTACAAAAACACTTGGGATAAATAACAGTATACAAAGAGCAAACTATAGAGTCCAGTATCTCTCATGAATATAGACACAAACAAATCTTCAATGACACATTAGCATGTAGAATCCAGCAATATGTAAGAAATACATACCATGTCTCAGTGAGACTTATGCCAGGATGCAAGACTGGTTCAATATTCAGAAACAAATCAAGGTAATCTGCAATATCAACAGGTAAAGAAGAAATGTCACATCATCACCTTCATCACTGCAGAAAAACCACTCGACAAAATTCAACACTTGCTCATGACAAAAACTCAGAAACACAGGAATAGAGGCAAACTTCCTCAAGTGGATAAAGAACACCTACAAAACACTTCTACCTAACATCGTCCTTAATGGTGGAATCAATGCTTTCCTCCTGAGCTCGGGAAAAAATGCAGGATCAGCCCCCACCACTCTAACCCAGCACAGTGCTGGGAACTACCCAGCGCAGCAAGGCAAGAAAGGGACCTAACGTCACACAGGTAAGAGAGGAAAATGCAGGCCTGTCTACCTAGAAACCTGAAAAAGGAAAAGCCATTCATGCACAGAATAATTTGAATAAATCTTTAGAAAATTGTGCTGCACGAAAAAAGCCAATTCCAGAAGGTTCCATACTATGTAATTCCATGGATATAACCTTCTTGAAATGACTAAAGTGCAGAAATGAACAACAGGTTGGTGGTTTGGGAGGATGAGGGCAGGGGGATGAGCGGGAGAGAGGGGTTGTGGATGCAAAAGGGCCACCAGAGGAGTCTTTGTGGTGATGGAAATACTCTGCACCTTGACAGTAACAATGTGGATACTCTGCTTGTGATACTGTACTATAGTTTTACAAGTTTTGCAAGATGTTACCATCGGCAAAAACTGGGTAAACAGTGCCCGTGATCTCTCTGTATCATTCCTACAACTCAATGTGCATCTATAAATATCTCAAAATAAAAAAAGTTTATTTCAAAAAAAAAGAGAGAGAAGTGTAACTACATAGCACACGTCTAGATAAAAGACTAAATTTGCTAAGGATTATTTTTATTCTAATTAATGTGCAGACTTTGTACAAGATAAATCACAATCCCCTAAAATTTATATCATAAATTGGTACAGTGTCAAACTGCTATGTATTAAAAAATACACCAAATTAAAAGATAAGCAAAAATTACAAAACTTTTGCATCCAGATAAATAACAAACACTCTAAACTCCCTAATATGTCAATGGGCAAAAATATGGACAGTTTACAAAAGGGAAATACACACGGTCTGTAAACAAACATTACGTGACGTTGAATATCCTTAGTTATCAAAGAAACATGAAATAAGACAGTATTTCACATATCTTAAGTGTCTAGCAGACCACTGACCAAACTGTGAACCTTCCTACTCCACCTGGAATCCAATTTGCTAGGTCATTTTTCCTCAGTAATCTAAGCGAATTCATAACTATTCTCTCTGAATACATCCATTAGAATAATTTACAAGACACTGTACCTCCCTTGACTTCTTGGCCTAGAACTTCCTAATTTGTCTTCTTGGTCTTCCTTAGAATAACACTAGGATATTAGTTGGATATTTTCTGATTCCTAAGTCTCTCCACCTGGGCAGAACAATGCAGTCTAGGAAAAAGCTCGAGAAATGCCGCCTCCACGGGGCACATCCCACACCCCTGCCGGCACGGGGCGTGACTCTCTCAGGAGCCTTCTGGTGGCGGGTGCTCTCCAGCCTCGGGCCAGTATGTACAAAGACAGGGCACCTTACCTCTTACATTTCCTAATTTTGAAAGTGCTTCCTGGTTTTTATTTTTTTCCTAAGAAAAACATTCAGCCTTTGTCTTCTCAGTACCTTAGGAATTCACTGGGGAAAGTGAGATAGACCTGGGAGACTTGGCGGGTGCTGCTTCCTTCTTTCATGTTTGGAAAGAGGGTGAGGTTGGGGGTGGATACAGAGATCAGAGGTTCGGAGGTGGACCACGGCTCTGCTTTTCCTGTCTGCTACAGTCTGATGGAATGGACAGCACTGCTAAGGTGGGAGCCAAGGTATTTCTCTTGTATTTATGCTCCATCTCTGTCCTAAAGGTACGAGACACCGTGATGGTTCAAGTCATTTCCATTCACTATGCCCTTCTTAGCCTCTGTCATCACACAGTATTTCACATATGGCATCTCGCTTCATTCCAGCACAACAGGTTGCATTCAAGAGTAATTCTGATTTCTAATACTTGGTGCAGTAATAACTTCACCTATTCACTGAATAAATACATACTGAATACTTTCTATGCATCAGGTAGAGTGTTAAAGGCTGGGAATATAATAGTAAACAAGACAGACTGATTCTGTCCTCATTAAATTTACAGTCCAGTGGGGAATAAAGATCAAGAAAAAGAGAGAAAAAAATTATCAATTTTAGTAAGTAGCTCTGGGGGGAAAAACACAGAAGACTGAAATGCAGAATAAACAGTGGTGTCGGGCTGCTGGGTCTGTTTCAGGTCTTTGCTCAAACAAAGATCACGTTTTTAAAACAGGTTTTTTCTGACCTCTCTGTTGAAAACAGCAGTCACTCTACTCCAGCACATCTCATCTCCCTGTCATCTTTATTCTCTCACACACACACACACTCATGCATATTAATTTGCTTACTTATTTTGTTTCTCTCTCTCTCTCTCTCTCTCTGCTTATAGGTAAGTTCTATGAGGTCAAGGAGTGTTGCCTTTCTATTGTGATGGTTGTTTTTATTTTTCCTTCTGGGACTAGAACAGTGCCTGGCACAGAGGAGGTGCTCAATAAACACTTGTTGAAGGAAGGAAAGAAGGAAGGAAGGAAGGAAGGAAGGAAGGAAGGAAGGAAGGAAGGAAGGAATGATGTAGTCAGGAAAAGACTTTCTGAGAAAGAAATATTTAAACTGAGACCTAAATATGGCCCAATCGTGCAAAGTGAGGGTGAGGGATGGGGGCGCAGCAGAAGGAGACCTTTCCAGGTAGAGGAAACAGCAGATGCAAAGACCCTGAGGCAGGAACAAGATTGACATATAAGGAAATTGAGGAAGCCCACGTTTCGGAAGCACGTGTCGGGCAGTGGCTGCAGCTGAGGCTGGAGACGGGGGCAGGGCAGGGTTGTGCTGTGTTTACCAGTGAAGGTACAGATTGGGCTTCCTTGTAAATACACTGGGAAGAGATATACACAAGATGGTAATATAACAATCTGATCTGGGTTTCAATACCGTCTTAAACGCTCTTGCTTCTGTGTAAAACATCTATATTGGAGGAAGACAAAAATGTAACCAGAGAGACCAGCAAGGAGACTACTGCAACAACAGTGATAATATTAGCCAATATTTATTGAGCATTTACTCTTTTCCCACCCTGGTCTAAGTGCTTTAGATATTATTTTATGTAAGTAAAATTTTAGCTCAAATGATACATTCTATTTTATCCTATTAGTTTTCTTAAGCTTTACTTTTCATGTTATAATCCACTTTAGCATAAAATCAGATATAGCAAAATTTATTTTAAGGTTATTAGGTTAGCATTTAATGGGGTTCCAAAGAGTACATTATGATTTTAAAAGTATCTTACATCTTTAAAAAAAATGAGAACTGCTCCCATAGATACTTGAGAACTACAAGTTATTCTTAGGTATTTGAAACTGCTGTTTGGAGGAGAATAATAATCCAGCCCTGTCTGGGATCATCTGGATTAGGGGATATTCCAAAGTGGAGATTCAGCTGGGAAATGGGGAGGGTAGTCTAGATATGAGGACCATGAAGCCTAGATTAGCACCACTGCAATAAGAAACAGGCAAAGAAGATAAAGGGCAGACAAACTGCCTTTAGTAATAAAATAATAAAAAGAAAAAGAAAAAGAATTTGATTGAATGTGGGGAAAGCAGGAGAGTGGATTGAAAGATGTCTTCAGAGCTCTGAGAAGAGGGATGTAGTGGACACCGTTGATACCCCGCCCAGATCCCCTTCACGTACAATTATATCTATTCCCTAACTGCTCTGGGTGCTGTCCACTAGGCCTCGCAGTTCTCCTCTTGTCTGGAGAAATGCTCTTAAGGATCGTCTGCAGCAGAGAGGCTGGAGCTGCCCCACTCCCAAACCGCGGGAGGTTACCTCCTCCTACCTCCAGGGGCAGCCGGCGGCTCATGACTGACCAATATGGCACCTCAAGGTGGGACAACGCAGAGGAGCCGTTCAAGCTTCAGAGCTCCCTGTAGAGTCAGGCTGAAGCTGGACGTCAGCTGAAACCACATCTTTGCTCAGCTTCTGCCCCTGACTTATCTGTTTCCTTCACTTCCTTACAGATGTCTCCTGAGAGCACTTTCTGAGCAAATCACTTACACCAGAACCCCAGTCATAAGGCTCTGCTTCTGTGCTTACTGACCTAAGACACAGGGGTAGGGGATCCTGGGGCAACTGATAGAGAAGGGAATGAAAGAGAAGAGTGTTAATTTGGACTTGTTTCATAGATCCTATTAACCTTTGCCAACACAGTCTGAGTCCTCTTGGAGCTCTCTTCACCCCGGACGGGCAGGATCGCAGCTGGAGGGGGACCCTACTAGACACTGAAGAAGGAAGGCATATTTCAAGTGCAGTTGATCAAAAATTGACTTTCTGCTTATCAATTCTTTAATTGGAGAGCCAAATGCCCATTTGAACTAGTCCTCAGTGCACTTCATGGAGTGACCAAAATTTAAAAAATCTAAGTACTTCTCAAAAAAAAAGAATGGGGAACCCACGCACACCTAGGGGATGAGCAAAACATTCCCGGCAATTTTTCAACTGTTTTACTTTTGGCACAACTCGATTTAACTCATTTTGCAAGTGCTCGTCCCTTCGGTTTTTAAACCCTTGGGTATCTCAAAGGAAATTTAATCCATATGTTTCTGATTCATTTACATTTTAAGTCATAAAAATGTTATTTTTATAAGAGCTGTTTGATATCCAAGAACCTTTCTGAGCCTTTTTAAAAAAAAAAATCTCTTTAAAGTCTTGTTGGTTGGAGCCAGGGAGCAGACGTGGTGTGTGATGCACCACCCGAAAATGTGATCCAGACAGACTCAACCAGAGACTGACCTCAGAGCCATGCTCACCACATCAGCCAGAAAAATAATGGCAACGGGATGATCAACAAAGTGGGTCTGGACACCAGAGAGTCCTTGAGAAATACAAGGGAAGCCAATGG